GTGATATCTCTTTATATTACAACTTGTGATGAGTAAATGCTGTGTGTGTGTTTTTTTTTTTTTTTTTCGGGTAGAAATGCTTTGTCATTAACCATGGTAATGACCATGGGAATGTCGATATAACTGCCAAGAACAGGTCTCGATATATCGAAGGTTTTTTCTTTTCGCTTTCTTCGGACCATCGAAGTTTGACTGAAATTAAAATATGTCGCTCCTGATTCTTGTTTTTCTCGCTGAGACAAAAATAAATCTGGCGGTTCCATAATAGTCATAGTTCAAGATCTCCTATCCATGAAAATTATTCATTTAACCATATCAGGTATCAGAGTCTTTCCTTCTGAGTTCGGTATCTTGCTGGCAAGGGACCACGTGGTTAGTGTAAATGGATCATATTTGTCCATGGAATGTAGCTGCCAATTTGTATTGAAATTGTACACAAATCCGTTACATCTTTAATAGAATATCATTTGTTTAAGGATGGACTTCGGACACAAAGATTCATCAGCATTTACCCTTCGTCTCGGGTAACTTTGATATGTACGATATGAAATCAAATGTATTTGATGCTAGATATCTAGGAGGGTTGTTGGTTTTCATGTTAACTTTGCTGTAATTTGAAAATAAAACCTTAAAAGAATTTATTTATATTTACATGGCCGGTATCTTTGATGAAACAAAAGACGTTAGCTCTTTCCGGACACCAAGTTATATTGCGTAATAGCGTTTTAAATGATCTCTATTTAAATCACCCAATTTGTTCAACTTGGCCCTAATTGAGTTGATTACAAAATTACTAGTATACCGGTATTTTCTGGTTGTTTAGACCACTTGTAGGTTACCATTCAATATCACTTATAACTAACTCACCTAAATCCAAGCATCCTACAAGCGACCAAAGCTTCATAGGACCTCCAACTGTCTGCACACAGAGTTCCCCATTGTCCTTCGTAAAACACCTCAACACGACCAGAACTGTTGTTCGTGCCGTTTGCAAGGCGAATATCAAACGTTGAAGAAAAATTATGACCTGTAAATGAGCAATTCTAAAGCTTTAAATGTTTTGTTAAATGATGAGTATATATGTTTTTATATTGTTCACAGAGAGATACTTTTACGATCGACATAAACTTTTGAACCAAAATAAACACCACAAGCGGTGTTTGATGGATTCATCTCCCAGGTAACTTAAATTATTTTTTGCTCATTAATGACGTCATTGTGTCATTGGTTTTTAATGACGTCACTGAGTAATTCGGATAAAGTAACAGGACTTCTGAGGTTTAGATGAATGAAACGGATAACTACTTTGTCTACAACATCGAAAAATGCTTGATGAAATATTATCAAGTATCAGCTATGATAATTTCAATTTTATCCCGAGTAGGTACACGTGATACTGTATTATCAAGCGAGAACAGGAAAAACATGTATGGTCTGAATGCATAATGCTTTTTACAATGTGTGTATAGAAGCCATTACTGCTTTCCGGTTTAATTGAAAATGTATTTCACGAGTATGAAAAACCAATTAAAAACAGACATCCTTACAGACAAGTGAAATATATATAAACCAGGAGCAATTAAATTTTTTTTCATATTACATTTTTAAGTAATAGAAGAATAGAAGAAAAAAATCAAAATATGTAAACCAAAAATGTTTGGTCAATATTCGTTCGTTCTTTGACGTCTGGAGTGACAAATAAGAGGATGACATTTAAAGGGATGCTTTTCGTTGCATTCTGCCATTTTATCTGGTAAAGATCTACTGTATCACAAAACTGTTCTATACACGAAATCAGAGAAACACCTAAAAACCAACGTATTCGCCTCATCTATATTCGACAATGAAAATAGGGAAATGTCCATATCAGTAATCATATAATATATAATTTCATATAATATCAAATGACTTTGTTCCTATATTTCACTGGAATAAATACAAAAAGACATTGTTACTGCATAAAGCTGTCAGGAGGCATTGTGGGGAAACGTATTGACGAAGTCTTGAACGTGGAAGATATATATCTTTTTATTATAATTAGGCATTGTAGACATGAAAGAACCAGGTAGCAAATTTACCTGCCATGACCAAACTGTGTGAGACCAGATATTCATGAATAGAGGTTTAATAGTCGAGTCAGATCTACCATAAAGATTAAGACCTGATTTCTGACCGTAGACATAGACTAAAGTGTTAAGGATTGGAGACCGTTTCAGACAATCTTTTGCAGATTTTCTTCCGTAAATTTAGATTTAAAACTGAGCAGTAAAATTACTCATTTTTATTAAATTCTGGATAATGAATTTTGAACATATAATACATGGTTGACGATTGTGATGAAAAGAACGTACTTGAGGCTGAATATGATATGATCTACAAAGGACTGTAAATATAATTTTATTAAAGTGTTTGTCTTATACATCACTGTGTGAACGTTCTTGTGGCTGAGTATGATATCATCTACAAAGGTATATAAATATAATTTTATGTAAATATGTGTCTATATACTTCATTATGTAAGGGAAATTATGAAATAAATATGTTTCTCTAGTTGTTGTCAAGTACAAGACAGAATATAAACGTGTATATCATACTTACCATGTCATGGAATATTCCAGTAAACAAGTAAACAACTTCAGGTGTCTTACATATACATAAAAGGAGACCCCTAAACCCACAAAGGCACTAACGTGGGATTATACCAATCAACAAATAATATATATGTAACCAAGCATGAGTACTCAACGTACATAAAAAACATGAAGACAAATGATGTTAGCATACCAAATCAAAGTCAGGAGTAGCCTTTGTGAAAAAAATACGACTGGAGAACGCAAATCATACATGTAGACAAGAAAAAGACAGTTCTAATGTAATATAGACAGATTAATAGGATAAATAAACTTACCTGTTACAGCAACAGCAAAGCCGACAAGAACGACAAACACCAAATACTGGTTAAGCGTCATGTTGTCACAAGTGGCAACTACCAAATGAGCCGAAAACACGAATCACACGTAAAAAATACATAGGAGCATTACATGTAACTATTCAAAGCCTTTGTACAGACAGAACATGGTTTAGGCCGTAAGACTACTAAATGTATTTAACAATCGTAATTTTTTTTCAAGAATTCTTTGGGTTATCATGTTCAATCATAATGAGATATATATGTGTAATGTGTCTGCTGTCTACACTGCTGTTTACAAATTCAACGTTGTCTATCGAAGTAGCATTATGACCTCACATATACCGCGTGACTTTTTCATCTTATCACATATCTCAAACAAGTGTAATGCGTATTGTCTTTCGTTGATTAAAACTAGCTAGAGGGATACATTTAAATGACTCGTGACAATGACATCTGATTTAATCAAAGGATCTCTCACGGAAACAATAGAATCAATCTAAACCAAACTAGGTACTACTTCTAGCACCTTTAGAAACAAACAAGGAAAAGGCCCCAGGGGTCTGTGTTATAACTCATTTAATGTAGTGAACCACAGGTGTCAGTTTATGGAACAAAAAGCTATTAAATAGATAAAATCTTGGATTAATTGATACCATATTGTAATAAGCATATTTATCTTTACATTGCGATGTCAAATATATATTAAAATACTGAAAGATAAAAAAAGTTATGAATTTGAACATATTTTTTAGTATTTTAATTTTTTTTGCGAAAGTAAACACGTACTTCCGGTTCTAGCACACTAAAATGTTTTGCAAATTATTTGGGTTATTAATCTCTCTTCATATGGTGAAAATTTCAGAAAAATCGAGAAATTGTCATATTAAGGTCAAACGGCATCGTGGTCTATTCATTCAATCAATATTGCCTATGACTGATGCTAATCTCAACTGTATGTAAAGACATTGTAACTTAACTGTAATTAGGATTGCTTGTGTTCAACATTACGATCATCAATTTTAAGTAATTTTAATAATAAATTTTAGCATCACGATCTACCTCCTAAAAGGTAGCCGTTTAATAGAATGATAGTGGACATAGGGGACCACCTTGTTACATATCAAACCTTCATGTACACGTGTGTCTTTCCTCATATATAATAACAGCTAGCACGCATACAAGTAATGCCGACGTGTCCTAAAATGACTATATCTGTCAGTCAGAGTCATGAGTATACATGTATGTTACATATCACACGTGATTCAGCACAGAGATCTAATGCACTGTCACGCTGTACTGTCTATAAAGCGTTACAGAGTAAGATTTACTACCAGGTTAGATCATACCGTTTGATATGTGCAAGACGGAATTTCTACACATGTGAAAGGTAAGACAAGAAAACGTTTCAGGTGTGTGTGTGTGTGTGTGTGGGTGGGTGGGTGGGTGGGTGGTGGTGGGGGGTGTTGAAATATATGTTTAGTCATTTAATAGTAAGCGATCAAATTACCTGCATCGGATGGTTTAACACTTTTTAGTCGTTTTACAATAAAAAAATGGCGGCCTTCTCCAAAAACATTTCAAATTTCTCCAATTGATCCGATGATGTTTAGTGCTGAAAGAAAAGAAAATAATTCCCGATAAAATGTTGTAACTTTTCGGTCTGGTCAAGTGTTGAGCAAGGCAGTCATTTTGTAACATGACTGAAACTCGTGATTTTTCTGACCAATGGTGAAACTTATTACAGGAATGTTGGATGTTAGATACATATATCATCCTATTCAAAGTGTCATATCTATCGTAGGGTCTTAAATAATGTAAGGACCAAACTGTTGGATGTAAATTGTAGTTATTATGATAAAATTTTGCGCTAAAGGAATGTTAGAGTGAAAGGTATGGGGTTGTTTTCGTATTTTTTTTTTTTTTTTATCTAAATATGCATCAGGTTTATAGAAGTATCAGTTAAGTTAATTCGAAAATGATTAACTAAAGCATATGAGTTTATTAAGCTGTAAAATTTCAAATATTTACATGACGTCTGCAACAAGAATTTAATTTACTACAGGGAGACAATATCAATACCTTTGTAACAATGGAGGATCTGAGCTACCTTTCCAGACCGAATCCCTCCCAAATTAGATACAAATCAATAATTGATGTGTTGAGAGAAAAAACAGATGTGGATCCTGAAAAAGAAATATTTGTTGAACGATCTGCTGGTGGTGGAAGAAGGTCCCTGACGTATGCTGAGCTTATGAACAGATCCACAAATATCGCTAAATATCTTATCGCTAAAGGGATTAGACCCGAAGACAGCATAGCAATCATTGGACCGAACTCCATAGAGTGGATTATTGGCGAGTTTGCGATCTTTATGACTGGAGCTATCGCAGTTCATTTCTATGAAACGTCAGAGTCATTCTCTGAGACGCTGAAGATACTAACTTCAACAAAAAGTAAAGCTGTTCTACTTGACCCGGAATCAGACCAAAACTATTTATTAGACATCGAAGCTTACCTGATCAACGATATATCCTCGCAAGACAAACCGATCGTTTTGTTGCTCAGAAAATCAACACCGTCTTATCTGCCATCGTTAGCTGATGTTATGCTGACAGCTGACGAGGAAGCCGTTCTCCTTCCAAGGATAAAACCAGACAGTATCGCCTTGATTTTTACAACGTCGGGCTCCACGGGAGTACCAAAAATGGTAGAAATGGATCACGTGTCATTTGTCAATGCTTCATACATGGCCTGTCTTGGTTCAATGAGCGACCGTCCGATTGACAACTGCTACAACGATCGGCCTTTTGCTTGGATGGGGGGTTCCCCGATATTCAGCATTTTGAATGGCAATAAACGGGTTTTTGTTGACAACACAATTAGCATAAAGAAAGAAAATATTTTGATGATTTGGAATATCATCATGGTCGAGCATTGTAGCAGTGCCTTTTTCCTGCCTTATGCTGTCCTCGATATTCTTGCAAATATCGAAGCTATCACTTCTTGTGGCTATAAAATGTACGCCATCTGCACTGGTGGCCAGCATATCAGCAGGAATCTCACTCAATTATGTGATAAATGTACAGAGAAGATGTTCATGATCTATGGATCCACCGAAGTTGGAGCTATATGCTCTACGCAGATCACGCCTGAAATGGAGGAAGGTAATGTTGGGTCACTGTTTCCAGGTTATGAGGTCAAAATTGTCAATGACAAAGGTGAAACTAATAATCGCGAAATGTTGGGAGAAATCCTTGTTAGATCTTCTACGATGATGCAGTCTTACCGAGATGCTCCAGAGCTGAATGCAGCCTCTTTTGCTGACGGCAGATGGTTCCGAACCGGTGACATCGGAACTATTACAAAGAATGGGAAATTATTGGTGAAGGGGAAATCAAAAGACATCATTAAGAGAGGGGGTTTAAAGGTTTTTACTAGCGTCGTGGAAGCAGCCATGTCTAAGCTGTCGGACGTTAGGGAGGTTATAGTAATACCCGTACCGGACAGCAGGCTCTATGAGGAAGTATGCGCCTGCTATATATTGGAGGAAAATAATCATACAACGGAAATTGAACTGGACAAGAAATGTCGAGATTTCCTAGGAGATAATGTGTTGGGTAGTACGCCTTCCTATTATCTCAGGTTCAACTCGTTTCCTAGACTCAATAATGGGAAAGCAGATAAGGTTCTTGTTAAAACACAAGCCTTAAACAGACTAAATTTGATGTAAATGTTTGTCACTTTTCCCCATTATATTAATTGTTGTTCTCTCAAAGAACAATACAATGAATTTCAACCAGGTCAATCATATCCAAGGTATATCGTGTTGTATTATAAACGGAAAGTATTCCCGCAATTCCTGTGTTTTAAGTGGGTATATAATTATTGTCATGTCACTTCCTAGTGTAAAATTATATCTTTATATCGGCGTTAAGGATAATATATATAGAGTGTACAGACAACACATATTTACGTTCTTAACATATCAACCTGTAAACACGTCATCTAACAATGTAAAGACATATTTGCAAGTCTAATTTTCTTTCGTATCTACTTGTGATACAAGTCTAACAAGAGCAATAATACCTCTGCATTCTTGATGTGTTTCATATCACTACGATAGACAAACCTGTGTACTTGTTAGTACGAATGTAAGTTCATTGTAATGCATAGGTAACTTCTCCAAAGTATTGTGGGCATTTTTATCTTAAAAATGGGAAAAAAAACAGTGTTCTTGACCTTCACCCTAGGACCCTAAAATTCACACTCATACATACTTGAACAACTCTATATGCCTTCTATAATACTTTTTTTTTATTTCTTTAATCATGAAAATATGTAATTATTTTCATCCTCATTAAAAGAGATAACGATTAACTGTGATTTTTGTGGTCGTCATTTCATCATTTGACAAACAATATTGATCTGAAAGTGATATTTCTGACACTAAAATTCCAAATTACATATCATTTAAGCCAAGGATGTTTCATATCAAATCTGCACAAAATCCTTTCATTGCTATAGAAGCAGTTAAATTAATCGTTGTCTTCTCTCATGTATGCATCTTACGAAATCTGGACTGTAGATATATCGACAATAAACCATGATCAAGACAATCCATACAATCAGTGTAACTATCATTTGAATATCAACGACATGGCGGCAAAATATGGACAATGGAAGCCCGTTCTTATGGCACCTACCTGATTAAGAAATGTAAGTTTACATAAAGTAACTATCGATGATATATTTAGGTTCATCAGCAGTATTCAGTTGTTCTAACGAACTTTAAACAATTCCAATCAATATCATACAAAGGAACAAAATATTATTTCAGATTATGATGACGAGAATGGAGCTTTTAGTAGTCGCCCTCTATCGGTGTTTCTCGAAACCCTATGCTTACAGCTAGCAGTTGTAAAACAATAAAGCATCAAGTTACTACTTGACTGCTTTATATTTTTGATATTTTCCCACCATTATGAGAAAGTGATTTCTTGAATATGAACTCAAATGTATAGGATTGGTTGATAACCATTTCGTAGTTACACTTTAACACTTGAAAATATTCGAGTCTTTGCCCCTTTGGAGTTCTTCCATCCGAAATGTTGGAATGCCCAAGCAGAGTATCCGCATATCTTCATAGCAATAAGGATGCACTTTTGTTCTTGCTTCTTTTCTTATTCTGTTGCAACAAATACACATTTGTTTCTCAAAACTCAAAAAAAGTGTCTTGATTATTTCAAAAAGGGAGCATCTTTCGAATCTTGTCATATTCAATAGAGCCAAATGATAAAGAAATTCGCGTCATACAGATGCTTTTGCCTTTTAGACCTAGTCTGTGGACCCTTGAGTGTAATGTCATGAAACCTAGAAAGGGACGCAGGGATAAGTAATAACGTCTAGACAAATGTCAAAAATGGAGAGATACACAGATATATTAGCTTGAAATGCTTTCCTTGTTTTGTTACTGTTTTATTAAATTTAATAAAAACGTGTATGTGTTCCTTATGCCTAGACTGAAGTTGTTTGAAATATCCTGGAATGTGTTGGCTGGTGTAAACTGGTATTGATAACGATGCTTAAATGTGCATCGGAGCTCAATTCATATCTTAAGTGTATCTTACTGCAGACGTATGACACCAGTGACGGTTCAAGGTAATAAGGTATTCATGTCGCTGTCCAAATTATAACGTCTTTAACCATGAGAATACAATTTCGTCAGTACGAATAATTTTGTTCATTGCAATGTAGCAAACGTATGGGCAATTATGTCTGTCTATGTAAGATAATAAACAGTGATGTTTTAACATAGGCATGTGTAGGCATTAATCATGTAATGACCACATACACATGTTTCAATACTGTTGTTGTCCATTTTCGCTAAACGGTACTACACAAACAAGATATGCAATATCATGTTCGTCTTTTGGAAGAGTGTCAAAAAGTCAAACAAACAGTGCAATGATTTTAACTGTTACCTTATAAACATTGATTTATGAATTGATTTCTGTCATCTTGTTTGTTAGAACCATGACAATTCGGGGAAGGATCTTCCTGAAGTAACCTTATCAAAAGATAAACTTAGGAACAAATAATTAGAAATTATCCTGTTAAGTTCAATGGTTCAAGTTATTCTTCTACCGGTATTAATGAAAAACGCCTTTTTGGGCTAATATTTTTCGCAAACATATCATTATGCTATTTAAACCAAGTCATTAAACCTCATCAAAGTCTACCTGACTAATACAGAGAAGATGATATATTAATGAACGATTTCCACCCGTCCTTGTACTGCTAATTAGCACAACCGTAACTCGCGGCTCTTAGGACTCCATCGGTGGCGACGTCACAAGTTCAGCGACTGAAACAGTCACCATCGACAGGCGAGAACGAGAAAAGCCTAGATGTAAAATATTACATCTGACGGAAAAGGACGATTTCTTTTAATTTTGAGAAATGAAATGATATTGACGATAACATCATGTACACAGTATTTGGCCGTGAGCAATTTGCCGAAATTTCATACAGTAAGAATGCGTTAAACCGAACTTAAAGGCAGGATAATGGCATATCAGTGTATTGAAGAGTACTGAATAAAAAAATTGTCGAAAAAATGAATTTTGGGGGAAATTTAATATTATAACTGGCAGCTATGATTCTTTGTTTTACTTGCAAAGTCAATTAACAATCCTTTCTGTTTGCATTTCAAAGACAACCATTTTTTCCATATGGTCCAATTATACAGAGAGGTATCGGTTAACTATGTTACAAATGACCGAAACGTTGGTGTCTGCTTGTTTTGATTAATGATAAGATGAAAGACATATTTATATAACTATATAGGGACATATTAATGACACTGAGCATTCGTATGTTAGCTTGGCAATAAAAAATATCGGCAAAGTAATTACTGTTACATATTTAATGTTATGTAGGAAACGATAAATATCCATTTTAAAATGAGTCATTCGAATTAGTACAAATATGACGGATACAGTAAAATAAAACGTCTGATCTATTTTTAAAGCCGTTTGTTTAACTTGTATTTGCCATTCCCACTGATATCTTTTTCGATGAAGTCAGAAATACAGGACTGATCCTTCGTCACGCAAACAAATATCATAAAAGGTTTTCCTCTAGCATTATAAAGACAGGTACAAATATGACGGATACAGTAAAATAAAACGTCTGATCTATTTTTAAAGCCGTTTGTTTAACTTGTATTTGCCATTCCCACTGATATCTTTTTCGATGAAGTCAGAAATACAGGATCCTTCGTCACGCAAACAAATATCATAAAAGGTTTTCCTCTAGCATTATAAAGACAGGTACTTGTTTCAATGATCACTGCAAGTGTGTAGATTTTTTTGTAACCTTACCACTGTATTGTCGTTTAACGATTTTTTATTTTGTTATAACGAACACTTGCAGCATTTAAAAATCATTTAAAGTCATGTCATGACAACGAAAATGGAGTTCTGTCCCAAGATCGCATGGGTATGTGTCAAATGTATTTGCACATGAAGTTTAATAAAGACATGATGTTAGTTGATTCTATGATTCTAAACCTCAGATGGAAACGAAACCCATTTAACAATTGCTGTATATGTATCTTCTGACTAAAATTGATGTATTTTGATAAAGATGTTTCCAATGCTGAACACATAAAATGTTAATATATGTTTATTTGAGATGATAAACAAACACACATGAATCATAAAGATGGAGAATATGAGCTGTCTGTCCTGTCCGAATCCCGCTAATGGTCGATACAAATCTACCACTAATGGTTTGAGAGAAAAGGGCAGACGAGACTCAAGAAAACGAACCACGTGTTGAATGATACGCAGGTAGGAGGTCACTGTCTTATGTTGAGCTGCTGAATTGGTCAACACATATCAGTCCCGAAGAGACAATGTGGCCGTTATGGGACAAAATTCCAGAGTGGATCATTGGCGTGTTCACGATCTTTACGACATGGGCTGTTCAAATTTACAAAACTTCGGAGATATTAATGTTTACAAAAGATGACGACGCTTGACCCTGCATCCGTCGAAAACTATGCATCAGATATGATAGCATACTGAAACGAGAACCATAAATCAGGTTTTTTTTAATTAAGGAAAAGAACAAATCCATCTCTGTCCGGCTCCACCGGCGTTCTTCAATTGGTCGATGCCAACCAATTGTCTATCGGCAATGCTTCATATATGAAGTTTATTGGAGCAGCAGGCGATCAACCAAATGGTACCTTCCACAATGGCCAACCATTTACATGGATTGTGGGCTCTCCGATACATAATATCTTAAATGGAAATAATTGCCTGTTTGTTGATACCTAAATAGGCATGAATAATGAAAGCATCCTGAAAATATGGGACATTATGATGTCCAGGAAGTGTATTAATGCCTTGCTACTTCCTTATGGGAATATCGGAGATCCTCCCAAACACGATTTGTCAATACATGCCATCACTACCGTTGGACAATATAATAGCAGCCACCTCATTGGTGTATGTGGTAAGTACACAGATGTTCATGATATACAGATCAACCGAGCCTATCTGTCCGGGCATTGAGGTCAAGATTATAGGCACCAAAAATGAAACTCTATCATAGAGAATTAGGCGTTATTCTTTTCATGTCTTCATTGATGCTCTTATCGAAATACTGCAGAACTGAATATAGCTTTTTTTGCTGGAGTGTGTAGGGTTCGGACTGGATACA